AATTTCATCAAAATCTGTTCAGTGGTTTTCTCGTGATGCGGTAACAGACAGACCGACAAAAATTCTAAAAACTATAGATTCGGACTCTGTATCGATAATAATTTCTATTTCAATTACATTTCCCAAAAAATATTTAATGTACAGATTCGACTTAGTTAGAATTTTATTATATGTATAGACTAGCGATTAATCGCTCCGCTCGGAGTCGTGCCAAGTTGCGTTTTAACGTTTAGTGTAGATTTCTCAGAGATGACCCGGATAACCAGCTACCATCATACCAAATTTCATTAAAATCTGTCCAATAAGTTTTCTCGTGACGCGTTCCCAGACAGACAGAAAAAAATTGTAATAACTATACATTTGGCCTGTGTGTCGATAATCCTGACTATTTCAATAAGATTTTCCAAGAAATATTTAATGTACAGATTCGACTCAGAATTTTATTATATACGTATAGATGTATAGATGACTTAAAAGAAAAATATTATTAAAAGAGTGCACTTGTGTTTGCGCATAGGCAAGGTGAGATTGGCCGCCGTGATCGAAATCGGTCAGGATATTAGGTGCATCTGTTCTGTGTATTTGATGGGCAATCACAGATTGGGAACTATTACGTACCTATTCACTGTGCTGTATTATTTACTTCACATATAAAAACAGAATTTACAATGCTTGTATATGTTTATTACTCCTTCACATTGGAACGGCTGGACGGATTTTGGTGAATTTTAGTACACAGATATATTATGATAGGCAGAATATGATATACTGTATATCTATACTAATATTATAAAGAGACAAGAGTTTGTTTGTTTGTTTGTTTGATTGTTTATTTGAATGCGCTTATCTCAGGAAATGCTAATCCCATTTGAAAAATTCTTTTTGTGTTATATAGTCCGTTTATTGAGGAAGGCTATAGGCTATATATATTCATGCTACTGTCCAAGGGAGCGGAGCTGTAATCATAAATGTCAACAAATCGGGCAGACTTCCATACATTATTGTAAAACTAATGTTTATATCGGAAGTTTGAACGTGGGCGAAGACTCGGGTACTGCTAGTGTACAATTATATAATTCGATAATTTAATAGTAATTTAAATATTTGACTGTTTTATCTGAAGTAAAAGTAAATTTTAACTTAGAATTCGCATAATTAGCCGAAGTCTATTTAGGCTGAATATATTATATCCGAAAGCACTAATCAAGTTTCCGGCAACTCCGACGTGTAATATTCATGTTAGCCAAACTGCTAAATCCAATGTTACTTAAGATTACACATGTAGAAATGTTAGTTCATTGGAAAGTCCAATAATTAGACATACATATACAAAGTTTGGTTAATATAATAACTAGTGCTGTGTTATTATTTTATTTATGTTATTTTGTTTCCATTTCAAGGCTAGATAGAATGTTATGTTATTTACTGGCTTTTATTTGCTTTTTGCCTTTATTTATTAATAAATCGGATTACTATTATACATAAATGCGTTAGTTTGTATGTGTGTGAATATTTGTTATAACTTAACGCTGAATCGGCTAGACCGATTTAGATGTAATTTAGAACACAGATAGACTTTGACCTGGAGTTACATAAAGGCTACTTAAGCCACTATGAACGCCTATTAACGTCACGGAATATCGTGGTGGGGGACTCATTAGCATATGGCAATCCAGCCAGGCGCGAAGCCAAGAAACGTATTGGGAGGTGGAGAGGTGTCCTGGTACTTCTCTGATAGCAGAGTAGATCGTTGAAGCAATCCCATGGTTGTTGTGTTCTGTCTCAGATCCTTGCGATGCCCCATTAAGACTAGGGAGGTTCTGATGGGTTTTAGTGGGTAGTACTTGCTTTGCTAGTTAGTGAGTGTCGACGTCCCCCTATGAACGCACCCAAGCGAAACGAGCATACGTCACTGGTTATACGACACAATTAGAGTCCAACGGGAATCGAGTCTGCGATCTCTGAAGTAGTATACATTTTAATAGCGTAGATACCAGTTTTATGGTAACTTTTTAATTAAGCACATTTTGATAGACACTATGAATCTTAATTCATTCCCGACCATGACTCAATGTTGTTTTGGATACAAACCTTGCGTAAATCGTAAAGGCAATAAGTACTTTTCCCTGGTTTCTGAATGGTGGAAATAAAAAATACTTTGGTAAATTAGACGCAGAGTCGTAAAGCACGACCCACTCTCCTATAAAGCATATTCTATTTACAAGTAAACAAACTAATGATTCATATTGTGTTAACAAACTAAGTTTTTGTATAAATTTTGTTCGCGAACATCAATGTTTGGTTGTTGGCTAACATAGTTTTGTGTAAAATAAACATTAGGATTTCGAGTTTTAATCCCTGTTCATATCTAAGTAGTGTTTGTAGTTTTAAAATATAAGCGAGTTTTGACAAGATGACATTATAATATAATGGGTATCGAAATATAATGTCATTCGTAGAAATAACTTTTTAACTGCCTCGGTGGTTTAGTGGCTAGCATGTACGGCTGCACACCCGGAGGTCCTGGGTTCGAGTCCCGGGTCGGGCCAAGTTTAGTTATTGAGTCTTTATGTATAGTAAGCCTCAGTAGCAGCTCGGAGTTGGGAAGTTGGCGGTGTTCCACCCCCGTGCCTTAGAGAGCACGTAAAGCCGTCGGTCCTGCGCCTTAACTCTCACTGGTCGTGTCGAGTAGTCGTCCCACCGGAATATGAGAGTGACAGGAATAGAGAGTGCACGTTGTGTCTGCGCGTACACTTGTGCACTATAATATCTCCTGCGCAGTTGGCTAGTCTCAATGAGATTGGCCGCCGTGGCCGGAATCGGCTAGGAGAACATCATCATTGTAGAAATCAAACCCGTCACTACTTGGAATAGAAATTGCCTAGGTTCGACATAATTTTATAGGCATTATTTCTTAAAACACTATCGCCCACATCATTACCTTTAATCCATACTTAATATTATAAATGTAAAAGTGTGTTTGTTTGTCTGTCCTTCTTTCACGTCGAAAAATTATACTTACGAAACAAAGTGACGGATTGGCGTGAATTTTTTATGTGGAGATAGTTGGAGGGCTGGAGATCGGAGAATGACATATACATCTTACCCCTGGAGATTATCTCATTTCCACGGGAAAACACGTTATAATTTTACTAAATTCTAACCGTTAAAACCTAGGAACGAACCCGAGCGAAGTGAGGGTGAGTCGCTAGTTCAAAATAAATTAAAGTACCTATTCAAAATACTGTTTTAATATTTGAATTTGTAACCAATACCAAACTTTTAATGAACTTGTATAAGAATAAAGCTTCAATATTAGAAATATTTCATTGGATATTTACTTACTAAAAGAGTTGTTTTGTCCCAAAAACTTTATAATTAAATTATCTTTAGTTACATTAACAAAGATAACAAATAACAACAGATATTAACTAAAAAGGTAAGCCTTTATTTTTCTTAAATTTCGAATTCTCAATGACGTAACTTTATACATGAGCTCGACGGTGTCATTTGAGATCAATGGGGTTTGAAAGTGGCGATTTATGGAACGAATGGTTGCTATTTGTTTTATCGTTCAATTTCACAGGATTAATCTGAAGAAAAGTTTTATATAAGTAGAACATACAAGATACACACATGATATGTTCGTCCTTCTTTTATTTGACTAGGCCAAACAGTAGCCTATGTCACTCTCAGGTATATAAAATACTAGGGACTCACCCTCGCATCGCTCGTGTTCGTACTAAGTTTGAATCCCCATACAAATTTTCATCCCCATTTTCACCTCTTTAAGGGATGATTTCCGGGATAAAAAGTATCCTATGTTCTTTCCAGGGTCTCAAACTATCTTCTTACCAAATTGCAATCTAAATCGGTTCAGTAGATCCAGAGATTACCCCCTACAATCTCACAAACTCATAATTCACAAACTCAAACTTTACCTCTTTATAATCTATACATATAGTAAAATTGTAACTAAGCCGAATCTGTACATTAAATATTTTTTGGGAAATCTAATTGAAATAAACATTATTATCGTTACAGAGGCCAAATCTATAGTTTTTAGAATTTTTGTCTGTCTGTCTGTAACCGCATTACAGAAAAACTAATGGACGGATTTTGATAAAATTTGATATGGTGATAGCTGGTTAATCGGGTCAACATATAGGATACTTTTTACCATGGGAAAATATCTCATTTGTGAGAAAAAATACAAAAACAACAATATAAGAGTATACTAGTATGTAAAACCTAAGAATTTGGTTTTTGGTCATCTGAACGCGGGCGGAGCCGCGGGCAATGCTAGTATTAGTAGTTTTGGTGCGAAAAATCCCGATGAGCTTTAATTCTGCGTCAAAACTTTTTGTATTCCCAGTTCAGTGTAATATTTATATCTTAAATTATTATTTAGTAAATAAATAGTGTTTGCTAGAAGTAGGAAAAATATTTGAAAGGGCGTAGAAATAAAAATACATAGCGGCAATGTCCAATAAACCGAAAACATACTAAAAGCACTCGAAAATGATAAAAAGTACAATAAAATATATCTAGTGAAACTAATAACAATTAACACATTTTTTTTATCGAAAAAAAGCTATAATTATGTTTTTTTATACATCATAATTAGCATCGTAACTTACTTGACGACACGTTTGGCTCAGTTTGTAGTGGCCCTACTTGCTGCGTCAGCGGTCGCGGGTTCGAGACCCCCTGGGGGCATTCATTGTGATGAGCACGAATATTTGTACTTCAGTCATGGGTGTTTATATTTATAATATGTATGTATTTAAAGTTATATACGTGTAGTATATCAACTATCTGGTATCCATAATACAACCCTCGTAGCTTGCCCGAGAACTAGATGGTGCTGTGTGTTAATATACCAACATATTTATATTTATTTATTTATTTACTGGCAGCATGGCGAGCTGAAGGTCACGAGTTTGACCCCTTGTAGGGAGAATATTTGTATTACAACAACTTGTTTCAATAATAGACGCATGGTGGACGCTGTGATAATTTATTATATTGTCCCTCTATGGGGTAGGAGGGTAAGAATGAAATAATATTTTATGTAAATCTTATATCACGATCAGATGATCGTGATATAAGATTTACAGCGAAAAATATCAATAACAATACAAATACTTACAATATTTTTATATGATGAATATATGATGCCGCCAATCTCTGCAACTATCAGTCCGATCTATAAAAAAACTTTTGCTATATAGCGTATATATAAAGCAAAAGATTTTTTTAATAATCTGACCGATATATTTTTGCGACAAACAAGTAGCCTGGTTCTTCTCCAAGGTCCCATCTATCTGTATACCAAAATTCATCAAAATTGGTACAGCGGTTCAAAGTCACTTTTTCATTGATAATACTGAAGAGAAGCCGTAGGCAATGCACGTGTTTACATATCCATACTAATATTATAAATGTGAAAGTGTGTTTGTTTGTTTGTCTTTCTTTCACGTCAAAACGAAGAGACGGATTGGCGTGACTTTTTGTGTGGAGATAGTTGGAGGGCTGGAGAGTGACATAGACTACTTTTTATCGCGGAAGATCATCTCACACCCACAGGAAAACACGTTATAATACAACCAAAAAAAAAAATTATCAGAATTACTTGAAACTTTGTATAAATGCTCTTTAATACAATTAAAGAAATACGTGGTTTAGCATTTTTCGTAAGTCATTCCATAAGGAGGTAAAATAGGGAATAAAAGTTTGTATGAAACCTACCTTGGTAGTTTTTTTTTTGTAGTTTTAGCGCGAGTGAAGCCGCAGGTTCTGCTAATTTTTATTTTTTTTATTTTATTTATTTATTTTAGGGAAACAAACAGTACGATATTACATAAATAATTAGTAATAGTAGATAACACATAAACCAATGAAGTTTCCACAAATTAAACAATACAAATATGAAGCAGACCACAATGGAAATAAGAAAAAACAAAAAGCTAAACACTAAACTAAAAAATTACAAACAGAATAATAAAAAAAATAAAAAATAAGGAAAAACATAAAATACATAAAACACAAAATCATCAATTAAACAATAAGTTATACTATTTTTGAATCTTAAAAGTGAATTCGAAAATATGTCTATACTTGTAAATTTTTTATTATACTCATTACATGAGCGAAGTATAAAGGTATTTCGAGCATATTTCGTTCTAGTACACGGCAGGTCAAAAATATCGTGGTTACGCTTACTAAATTTTGAAACCTTAAAATTCAAACAGCTTAATAAAAAAGAATGAAATTATTTAAGAGTTTGAAAAGAAAAATTTTATCTCTAATTCTTTATATTTTTTTTATTATTTGTGTTTAATGAATATAAAAGATGTTTGGATGTTGGTTACTGAATGGGGTATAAACCGTTAAACAGATTGTAATGAAACTTGCCACAAAGATAAAACATGTCCTAGCGCTCATATAATGTTTTTATCCCGGTACATCTAGTAAATCCCGTGGGAAATTAGTATGTTGCAAAACGTAGCCTTTGGGACTGGGAAGCTGAGTCTGATAAAAATGAAAAAAAAAATAATTGTGAGTATTGTTAATGTACTTTTACATTCTTTTAAGATTTTGAAGGAATCCAATTGAAAGTATATTTTGCTGTCAAAGGAGGTCCTTTAACTAAGGGTGCTTTCTGCTTTAATGACATAAGACAAAATATAATTTTCGTAAGAAAATATTACTGTTGAGGAATAAAGGAGTTCTCGAGTAGTAGTCATGATCTTTTTAATATTAAAAAGTTATATCTCAATAAAAATTAATACTTTTCCGGAACCTTATCAGAAATTAAAACTATTTTCAAGTCATTAACTAACTTGATTTAATAACTATACCAACACAAGTGTTGATAATCCAGTACAAAGCTGTCATCGTGACCCAAAAACTCAGTCTGAAAAGCGATATATCTAAACAATAATTATAATTTGATCCCTTTGATGTTAATTTTATATGGAAGAGCTTTATTATTTCAGTGCATCTGGAATTTCTATCAATATTTATGAAAATAATAAAATATCTATAATTAAAAATAATATGAACAGTTGATTAAAATTATTGAAGATATAAATTATTTCTGTCTCAATAGGAATATTTATATCGAGCTTAGCGACGGTGGGAGGTAATGAAATAAGAAGCTTACTGTAAAAATATATTCAGTATTAAAGTTAGAAAAAAAATTTATTGCAAATTTCTTTTTTATAATATACTCGTAACTTTAAAAAATGGTGCCATTGGTCAATGGGCTATGTCCATGATAGAATGTTTTTTTTTACTTTGACTGGTTCACTGGGTAAACATCTTTGTTGCTCTCATTTCATCTCAGGTTATAGACATATCCCCCCCAACGTGCGTTCACCTTGTCGTGGTGGGGGGGCTCAGTAGTAGTAGCGAAGCTAAGAAACGCACAGGGAGGTTGCCCACTTCGGTGGGCGGTGGGAGGTGGCCCTCTTCGGGGGGCGGTGTACCTTGCGGGTTGCTCCTGGTACTTCTCTGATAGCAGAGTGGACCTTGGAGCAACCCCATGGTTGTGGTGGTCTGCTTTGGCAGACCTGCCGTCGGGGCGTCGTAGTTGAATGCGTAAGCGATCCTACGACGCCCCATTAAGACGGGGGAAGGTTTTGTTGGGTTTTAGTGGGTAGTTCTGGCTGTATTACGCCGGTGAGTCTCACACGTCGTGCGTAAATGCATTTCCCAACGTTAAAAAAAAAAAAAAGGTTATAGACATATGGGGCGATAGTACTAATACATACATTTGTTATCTAATATATTTAAACGAGCAATTCTTGTATATTTATTTATTTATAAAGGTGATTTCGGAAACGGCTACAAAGATTTCGAAAAAAATGCTGAAATTTGGTATGTGGGGGTGTTTGGGGGCGAAAAATCGTTCCAAATTAGTGTTATGTCTGGGAAAACGCATGTTTTCGAGTTTTCATGCGGTTTTCTTTCGCATTATTTGTTTTCTTTTATTTATTCAAGTTTTTAGTTTTTTTTATCTAAAAAATACGATAGAGAAGAACTCCAAGCGAATTGGAATTCATACAATTTCATTAATCAGTGAAATTTGACTAAGAAAGATCAATGCTAATCGGCGTGCTTTTACGTTTCCCAGTTAATCTAATATCCTATATTAATTTACCTAAAGGGATAAAATCTTATAGGACAAGTAATCTCTGCTAAATACCAACTTGCCGCTCTTGACTCGGTAGAACGCAGAGCTAAAAAGCTAATCGGCGACGAAAAGCTTGTGAAAACTAAGCTTCACAGCTTAGCACACCGTCGCCAAGTTGCTTGTCTGTCGGTTTTCTACAGACTGTACTTCGGGGAGTGTGCCCACGAGCTCCACAGTCTCATACCGCCATCGCCATTCTTCTATTGGAACACCAGACGTACTGCAGGATACCATTCTTTCTTGGTTGACATTCCGACCACTCGCACTAAGCGCTATTCGTCATCTTTTATAATGCACACCGCCAAGAAGTGGAATGCCCTGCCTGCGTCTGTTTTTCCGAGTGCGTATAACCTGAATCTATTTAAGGTGCGTGTTAACAGGCTTCTCCTGGGCAAACTCGCTAGATCGTAGACGTTATCTGTGCCTTCGAGCTAAGATGAAGGTCAAGAGTGAACCCATTTCTAATAAAAAAAAGACTTCTAAAATTTGGTCCGTAATAAACTAAAATATCCGCCCATGCGAAACCTTAGGCAAATGCTAGTGGTATATAAATCATATATATTCAGTATTTTTATGAATACGCATATGAGAATGCAGTTTTAGACAAAGAGTTATAATATTGAATCTGTTAAAGTGTCGTATATTATAATGAATACGTCGCGCCGTGAATAAATATACTGTGCAATATAATATTTTATGTGAACACTAGAGCCAAGTCAAAACTTGATTTAGTAAATAAACAGATAAGTGCGAGACTCGTCGAGGGTTTCGTGCGCGATATATTTGAGTTATGTTATACATTACTAGCGACTCACCCTCGCTTCGCTCGGGTCCGCTCCTAGATTGCTTCCCCATACAAACTTTCATCCCCATTTTCATACCCTTATGGGATGATTTCCGAGATAAAAACTATCCTATGTCCTTTTCAGGGTCTCAGACTATCTTCTTACCAAATTTCATCTAAATCGGTTGAGTAGACACCCCCTACAACGTCACAAACTCACAAACTTTACCTCTTTATAATATTAGTATAGATAAGTTAATATAGTAATTAGAAATTTTATAGGTCTCTATATTTTAAAGCTAAACGAATGAAATGAATCCCTCTGAATGACGCCCGTAAAACTTCCGACACATCGTGCTGTGAGCTTTAATCATTCGTTCCTTTACTTTAGGGTTAGGCCTATTTACCTATATTCAAACTTTTACCGTTTCACCACACAATGGGATAGTCCAAAAACCATATAATCTACAAAACTTAAACATAAACGTTGACCATTCAGGCCTCTAAAAGATAGATTGTTGAGCAATCAGAACTGTGTACTCACCAATTTCTAAATTAATCAAACTAAAGGAGCGATATTTCTTTAGTTTGATTAATTTCGAAATTGGTAGAAAGTACACATTCTGTAGATAACTACGTTTTAACGAAAAAGTATACTGACTTCGAAATCACTTAAAAGTTATTATTTCACGCTAAAGGTTTTTTTTTGAAAATGAAACCACCCTTAAAGTACGTACACCCAATTAATTTAAAATTATGAAAATCGATCAAAGTGGCTAAGATATCGCATACATATACTCGTATCTAAAAAACATTAAGTCTACTTGAGTACTTTCTTTATATAGTCGGTCAAACCAAGAGGCTTTAACGGTTACGAAGATACGGCATTTAATCATAAGACAGACAGACAGGTATAATTTGGGCTTAGTAATAGGGTATCAGTTGTCTGGTGTGGGCTGCATTGTGCCACGACGACGAGGGGAACGTCGTCAGGACACGAAGCAGACCGCAAGGCATTCCCTCATGCAACCAGACGGGTGGGCAGGTTGCGGATAGCCCGATCCCCCCAGGACAGGGATGTCCTCTAAGGACCCCGGACAAGAGGGTGGCACATGGATCGAAACCCACTCCATATGCTGTTCCTTACCTTCTCATCCTTGATCCCAATAACCTCAGCCCCATAACCCCATCCCTACCCATCAACCCAACCTACACTAGCACAGACACTCCCCGAAATACTCAACGCATATACACTCACACCCACAGACACACACCATCAACACACAAAACACACAGATACACTACAAAAGGGTGTGACTGGACTGCATTGACCCCGTATGTCGGTCTAGGGTACACTCCTGCACATGCCGTGTGCAGCGAGAGCCGAAGGCAGGGAGAAAGGAGTCCTGGAGGGTTGAGCCAATCACGGGTCGGGATAGTTACCTGTGGGAGGCAACACGCCCTCTTTGGTCCTAGATTCAGGCTACAAGGCAGCACTGGGAATAGCCCCACCCAGTGTATTCGGCAAACGTATCCAAACGGATATGTGGGCGAGCTTGCGGGCATCATGGGACAGGCAGGCGACGGGGTTCGGGTGTTGTAGGATATCTGGTTGGATAGCCTCCGCCTTAGCTCCGACCCGTCTCGTACTGTAACGGATCGCTTGCACGCTATATCTCAGTGGTAGGTCCTGATGATCCTGCTGCAGCTTGTGCCGGGACATCCCCAAATGTGCGGGCTCCCTGGAGGGTGGGACGCTACCGAGACGAAACTCTAACAAACAATTTATGGATACCAATAAAGACCATATCCAACCCAATACCACAAAACCCACTAAGACAAACAACAAGGAAGCGGACAATACCGCCTCCATCAACATGACCGCATTGTTCGCAGCAATGCCACAACCACAAGCACCCTCGACTTCCTGGAGTCTCGTCGAGCCAAGGAAGAAGAAAAATAGAAAGAGGAGGGAACGACAACGCAGGTCTAGGACCAAAGACGGAAAAACAAAAGGGGGAACTGGAAACAGCGAACCCGATACAGAGGAGAGTGAGCGGTACACCACCGATGGGGACACGCCAGCTGCTGCTCCTGGAGGTACCGGGAAACCGACTGGGGAAAACCAGAGCGCGACAAAGCCCACACCGGGCAATGCTGCGCCGGTGAAAACCAGCACGGGACCCGTGGGCTCCTATCGCAGCGGCACGGGTGGGTGCCCAACGGGGGGAGGGCGCACAACCAACCTCTCTCACACAAACAAAACAGTGGGGGGCCCGAAAACGGCCAAAGATGCTGGAGTACGCGCTGCTCCGGGTTACAAGGGTGGTCCCAGTGGCCAATCGGCCCTGGAAACTGCCCGCCCGTCGAGCTCAAGCGGAAAAAGCTCTAGCGCCCAGGTCTCCTCCAAGACAACAAAAACCACGCACATACAAAAGGCCCCAACCAAGCAAACCCAACGCCAGCTGCTGTCTAGCCGGCCACGCCTAAACAGCGGCACAAGCGAAGGGGAAACCTCGGAGGGGGGCCAAACAAACAAACCCAACAAGAGGGACCGACTAGACGACACCATCTCACCGAAGGTGTCATCGAAACGTCCCCGTACAACCCACACAAGAAGGGATGGTGAGGCCAGCTACGCACAGGCGACCTTAACTCACCTGAACGTGGCTATTACCACCAACCCCCGGACAGACCTAACAGACAAAGAAGCCACAGACATTAAAGACCAGCTACAGAAGGCTATCTTCACTGTAGCAGGTAACCACAAAGGAATACCATCAAACATACCCTTCGCCCCCATATTCCTCGGCCGCACTACCCTACATGAAGGAGTGCTGAAGCTGAAGTGCAGGGACGATGAGACACTGGCCTGGCTGAAAGGGATCGTCCCGACGTTCAAGGCCCCGAGGGAAGGTTTTTGCCTCACCCTCATCGAACAACGTCAGCTAAGGCCCAAAGTCAAAGCCGCCTTATACGTACCCGACTACCAAGGGGACGCAGACTTCCTACACAAGATATTAATGAGCCAAAACAGATACACATACGCTGTCAGCTCATGGCAGCTTATACACTATGATGTCTCTAAAGGAGATCGTCCTGGGATGCTCCTATATCTAGGAATACCCAGAGACGAAATACCAAAACTCCTCGCAGAGGGCCGGAGGGTTGCATACTCCCACGGGTCCATATACATCCGGTTCTTCACGCCTGAAGGACTCAGCGATGTACCACCGGAGGAGGAACCTAAAACGGTCGATGACAATAAGCCCACAGACATGGAGACGGACAAACACACCGACAGACCTCACACTGTAGCTTCAAACACACCGACAGACTTACAGACTGACAAACCCTCCCAGACAGACACACTACCAAAACCCACACAAACAGACGGAACAGACGGACGCCAAGCATCCCCACTCCCGACCGACAGACAAATCCCCATACCGACAGACGAACCAGATGGATCCACCCTGACGACAAACACACACATGGATGAAGTCATGAACCATCAAAACACACACCCTGCCAGCACTTCCCAGGACATGGAAGAGGTGTTGACGCCTTTTTCACAGGTGTCCGCCTCACCAGAGTATTGGGAAGCACTGGTGGAGTCGGATTAATGCCATCCAATGACAGACGACAACAGACGGCATGCTGCCGTCATACAGGCCAACCTCCAGCACAGTCATCAAGCCTCGGCTCTCCTACGTAGGCATCTGGAGGTTGAGAGGGAGACCATTGCACTAATCCAGGAGCCGTGGATTAGACGCAATAGTGTCTGCGGTCTCGCACTCAATGACGGTAAGCTATTCTATCACACACCCAACGATAAACCGAGAACAGCCATTTATTGCCCAAAAGCCATAAATGCAACAATTCTAACACAATTCTGTTACAGAGACCAAACCGCTAATAGAATACAAAACGGGCTGGTGAGTCCGAACTCCACAGAACCGACACCCATGATCTTGGTGTCACTATACCTACCCATTGAAGAAAACATACCACACACAATAACAGAAGAGCTAGTACATTACTGTGAAAGTAACAAACTGGACATAATCATTGGAGTGGACTCCAATGCTCACCACACCCTATGGGGTAACACATCCAACAACAAAAGAGGTGAGAACTTGCTCTCCTACCTAAACACTACTAACTTAACCATAATAAACAAAGGCACGGAACCGACGTTTGTGACCAGCAGATTTCAGACGGTTATAGACTTAACCATAACAAATCTGAGGACTGCTGATCACATCGACGATTGGAGGGTCTCAGACGAGCCCACACTATCGGATCATCGGCACATAAAATTCAATATTGCACTTGCAACAAAACCTTCACTGAAAACACCAAGTCTCACCAATATAAAGAGACTAAACAAAATAAAATATCGAAAGACACTAAGCAAAACACTATCCAAGGTCGACTTGGTGTCCACAAAAAACACCGCAGACATAGAGACAAATGTAACAAATCTCACAAACACAATAATATCCAGTTACAAAACAGCATGCCCGACCAAATCGGACACCAAACAACCCCCGCGAAATGAATGGTGGGACAAAGAACTCGAAAGAAAAAGACAAACACTGAGACAACAATTCAACAGAGCAAAAAACACAAGGAAAGACGAAGATTGGGCAAACTTCAAACACACCCAATCCAAGTACAAAAAGACCTTACGACAAAAAGACAATAAATCCTGGCGCAACTTCTGTTCCAATATCGAATCAGAAAGTGCAGCCAATAGGATAAGGAAAATAATCTCCAAAGACAAGTTCTGTGCACTAGGCACAGTCAAAAAACCCGATGGAACATACACATGCTCAGACAAAGAAACAACAGAAATCCTACTGAAAACGCACTTTCCAGGTTGCAAGCTGGAATATAACACCAAACACCAAGAACCACACAAACTCAGAACACCAACAAATGAAGAGATACAAACAGTAAACATGATAATTACTGACGACAAACTCAAATGGGCTATTGATTGCTCAAAACCATTCAAATCACCTGGAACAGACAACATTTTCCCTGCACTACTACAACTAGGCTACGACCTAATAAAACCCTGGTTAATAGACATATACAAAAACTGCTTACTGCAAAAATACGTACCCATTTTCTGGAGACACGTCAAGGTAGTCTTCCTACCCAAACCAGGCAAGGCAGACTACTCGCAACCCAAAGCCTTCAGGCCCATAAGCCTAACATCCTTTCTACTGAAAACACTAGAAAGACTCTGCGAAAGACACATCAGAGAAACCACTCTAACAACGATACCTCTAAACGAAAACCAACATGCATACACGGCGGGCAAGTCCACAGAAACAGCGCTCCATCAGGTAGTAAGTACTATCGAAGACAATTTAACAAATAAAATAGACACATTGGGAGCCTTCATAGATATTGAAGGAGCCTTTGACAAGACAACCTTCAAAAGCATAAACAAAGCTTTAAACAAATACAAGATCCCCGAGATCCTAATATCGTGGATTAACGAAATGCTGAGCAAACGCATAATTCACACAGAAACAGACGACAACCTCACAGGACAAGTATCCAGAGGCTGCCCACAAGGAGGTGTCCTCTCACCACTACTCTGGAACCTTGTGGTAAACAGCCTCCTCAACGAGTTAAACAACAATGACATACAAGTCATTGGCTATGCAGACGACATAACCATCCTAATAAGTGGCAAAATTGAAGCCACACTAGGAGATCTAATGCAAAGCGCCCTTAGTATAGCAGAAAAGTGGTGCATACAAAACGACTTATCAATTAATCCCGCAAAGACAGAACTACTGCTTTTCACAACGAAACGCAAGATCAAATTAACAAAGATGCCAACATTATTCAACGAAAAACTGAAATTATCAAATGATGTCAAGTATTTAGGTGTAACACTTGACAGCAAACTCAGTTGGAACACACACGTAAACAACAAAATCACCTCAAGCCACAAGATACTGAACCAATGTAGGCGCATGGTAGGGAAACAATGGGGTATTACACCAAAAACAATGCTCTGGCTCTACACCACGGTGGTACGAGCATCCCTCACCTACGCCAGTGTAGTCTGGTGGCCCAGAACAGAACTACACACAATCCAAAACGAACTTCAAAAGTTCCAAAGAACAGCCACGTTAGCAGTAACAGGCTGCATGAAAACCGCTCCATCGGCTGCCCTAGAAATAATTCTGGGCATACCACCTCTACACATTTTCATTAAACAAGAAGCTGCCCTGTCAGCTCTAAGACTAAAATCAGTCAACTCATGGAAACGCAATCTGGGCAAACACACAAAGATCCTCGACACCTATGAGGCAGAATTTCCACAGCTCAAATGGCCAAACGATAGAATAAGTAAAACACACATCATAGAAAAACATTATACACTAAACACATCAGAGGACGAAAATGCAGAAAACAGCCCAACAATGGAACCAATCCACACCATCTACACAGACGGATCCAAATCCAAGGAAGGAGTAGGTGCAGGTATATTCTGCCCCACTCTCAATATCAAAACCTACCATCATATGGGTATGTACAACACAGTGCTACAAGCAGAATGCGTTGGCATCACAATTGGAGCACAAGAACTACTAAATAAATCGATAAAAAATTCAATTATACACATAAAAACCGACAGCAAAACGGTTTTACAAGCACTAACTAAAAACACAACAAAATCTAAATACATACTAGAATGTCACAAAACGCTGGAACACCTTTCCCATACTAACACAGTAAAGGTATCCTGGGTAAAGGGTCACACAAATAACAAAGGCAATTCAACTGCCGATAACCTAGCCAAACAGGCCTCTAGACTGAAAGTTCAGGGGCCTTCACCTTTATCTCCAATTCCGTATTGCGAATACAAAACATGGTTGCGAAACTTCACCGATAACACAGTTAACACATTATGGAAGGCTAACACAGATTGCCGTCAATCGAAAGAAGCCTTCCCCACACTAAACAAAAAATTAACACTGAAACTAACACGCTTAGATAGACCCAAACTAAAAATGGTGGTGGAACTGTTAACGGGACACTGCCAACTCAATAAACATCTTTTTAACATAGGTCACACGGACAGCGCCCTATGCAGAGCGTGCCTCCAAGAAGATGAAACACCAGCACACATTCTAACTGAATGCAGTGCACTGGAACAATTACGCGAAGAAAAACTCGGCCCCAATAGATCGATCCCAGAAATCTTCCAGGACACCGGCAGCCTGCTAGACTACTGGGACGCTCTGGGATGGAAAGAATAACACACACAGCAGCACAAGCTCACGCACAACGGGCAAAGATGCCTAAGTGCGGAAAAAGCCGCGTCAGAAGAAGAAGAAGAAGAGAAGGGTATCAGTTGGACCTTTAGATACGGAACCCAAGAAATGAAATGAGAAATATAACATTCTAGCAAATTTAATATTCCCGACATCGTATAGCCAGTGATTTAAATGACGTAGCCTTTTATACCCGAAATCTGTGAAATATAATGCAAAATATCATTAAGCACATCGACCGTGTGAGATTGAATCTTCTCTTGCATACAGAAATGAAACTGGATATCATACGAAGTAATATGATAGAAACAGGATTAAGCATGAATAGGAACATTACTATGTATGTAGTCTTCAGGAAAAAGATGGTACTAATATTATAAAATGTAAAAGATTGGCCAGTGGCCTTCCTTGATTGTGATGAGATGTGATTTTTATAACAACTTTGAAACTTACAATATAAGCATTTTAAATAAAATTATCTTTTCGGATTTTTTCGCGGATTTATTTTGATTTTTAGTTCCCGGCGTTTCGAATGCTTTACAGCAAATATGGTCACGGGAGAGACTAAGTTTTTAAATGTCTCAAAGACATAATATAGTTGTAACAACTAGTTGTGACCATAATTGCTGTAAAGCATTCGAAATGTCGGAAAACCAAAAATCAAAATAAATTCGCGAAAAAATCCGAAAAGACAGTGTTATTTAAAAGTAAATAAATGTTAAATAAAATAGCTTACGGATTTTGTTATGAAAAAAAAGTTATTATTATGTCATCTCTCTCTCAAGGGGAAGAGCATAATTATTATTTTTACTGCTCATATTTTATTCCAAAAATTGTATCATAATTTAACTAATACATATATAAAATTACATATATTTAGAAAAAAATAAACGGTCTGTATGACAAGATCAAGAATAGTAGCATAAACAGCTAATCACGCTCCTAACTTTGACATTTATTTTAGCGGACTCTGTATTTATTATTCTTTAGTCTTCGGTAAGGACATAATAATAATCAAAAAAATGAAACAGTGTATGTACCTTCATTACCTTACACACATCAAAAGAAATAGATACCTCGGACGGAAAAGTCCATCAAGATAAAATTTATCGTTACAAAAACAAGGCCGGCGATAATAGATGAGAGTTGACATCGTCACTGATTTAGTAAGATTTCCTATAATCAAATTCGACTTCATATTGTTTTAGCCAAATTTAGCGTTGAAATATACGATCTATGAATAAATATTTAAAACCAACTATATTCTATAGCTCAGCATATATATTTAGTTCGCAATTATAAGGATATTTTAC